CATTAAAAAAGGAATTGACGGGTTTCAATCTTTTGGGTTGATTCTTAAGAAGAAAGTTGGCAATGTATTTTTGTAACCTTGAGGATTGTGGTTTAATTGTGCTTATGAGATATTTATTTGCTAGAGGTTGGGATTTTATCCAAGGGCAGTTTCGGAATTCTTGGATTATTATTTTGGAAGAATTATTGAAGAGTAATTGGCTTAGTTTGGGCAACAAAGAAGTTGAAGACAATTTGAAGAAGATTTGGAAATGTTGGGATTTGTTGGAAAATAATGGTTTTAGCATCATACTCTCTCGGGTTTTGAAGAATCTCTTTTGGAGCTTATTGGATTCTAAAGTGAAGATTGGAAAGAAGGTTATCAATTATCTTGTGGAGAAGATTGGGAAGAATTGCATGAAGAATATTGTTCAAAGTTCAAAGTTAATTGCTATTTTCGGTTTTAGTTTCGTGTGGAGATATTTGCAAACTATTGTAGTTTTGAATGATTTGGCCAATGATTCTCTTGAGTTGGATGTTCCTTGGAAGCATTGGAAGACTAATATTATTCAAACCTTGGACTATTTGTTTGAATATGAGGCCATCTTAGGGTTTGACTTGGAGGAAGATTGGAAGCTATATGAAGATTGAAGACCTTGAAGATTTCGTTAATTGGAAGGTTGTTAATTTTGATTTTATTGTGTTTTCTTTGTTAGTTATATTTGGTTTTAATCCTTGTGTTGGAGTTGGACATGGAAGTGGATCGGTTGGTTTGTTTAGATAGGGTTTGATGCTTGTGTTCTTTTAGTGTATTTTTTAGTTTTGTAGCTTTGTTGTTAGGTTAGTTGTTAGGTTTTTTAGGCGGTTGCCCTCTTCCCTTGTATTGTTTTTTCTTTTCAATAAAATTTGCCAAGGGGTCTTCCCCTTTTATCCAAAAAAAAAAAAACCCTAAACCCTAAACCCTAAACCCTAAACCCTAAACCCTAAACCCAAACCCTTTTCTCTTTGTTTCTCTCTCTTCTCTGGCGATCTTCCCGTTTTCCAGCTGTTTTCCGGCACCGATCGTTTTTCCGGCAACCGTTTGCAACAAATTTGAGCTCAATTTGCTCGTAATTTCCTGCTTGATCTAAGGATTCTGTTCGATTGATCTATGGAGGGTGTTCCACCTGATTTGGAACCCGACGTAATAATGAGGAAAAAAGGAAAAAATGCGAAGTTGAAAAATAAGCTTAAACTCGTTCTGGATTCTGAGTCTAATCAATTGAATGATACTTTGAAAGCTAAATCGGTCACTACACTCGTTAATAAGTTTGAATTGGAAGCAATTTCGATTGATCGTAAAATCTCGTCGAGCTTACTGGCGAAGTTTCAGCGGATAAAAGTGATAGTAGCGGGAACGAGATTGTGAAGCCTTCTAGCGATTCTGAAGTCGATGCTATGGCTCCTCTAATGACTCCATTGGTAAATTACATTACAGTCAAGAAGGAAGAAGTATCAACTGAAGATTTGAGCTCCCCTGTTCTCGAATTTGAAAAAGATATCACGCAATTTTGTAGTCCAGGAGAGAAGGAAGCTATGATGGTGTTTTGGAACAGTCTAACTTTGAATGAGAAGGAAGGCTTCGTTCATGGCTTACGGTTTATTAAGAAAAAATATAACAAGGAAGGTGAGTTTGATTCTTCTTTTGATGAATCCATTGATAATGTCAAGAAGCTATCATCTGTTAGCCATAGGAACGATATTTTGATGAAATGGAAAGAGCTTAATCAAAAAAAGAAGGAGAAGGTGATTCATAAGTTGTGCACGAGCAAAATCAAAAAACAGGTTGAAGCCAACATTGGGAAGAACCGAGTGCCCCTTAAATCTTCTGCTTCGTTGTTCCCTGTGGCAGTTGACATGAAGAAAACTTCTGATCTTGAAGCCTCGGATGGATTGCAAAAAGTGGGAGAAACATTGCTAAATTTCATTCCTGATGGAATTCCAATATCGAATAATAATAATCCTGTGATTGTGGATCTTCAAGAAATATGCTCTATGCGATCACAGGTAAAGGAAAAGAAAGTCAAAAAGAAAATTGAAATTGATGATCTGGTTAGTCAACAACTTGAACAAGTTTGTAATGAAATTATTTTTCACTTTCCTAGTAAGTTTAATCACTTAGAACTTGCTAATGAGGGTGAATTTAAATTCAAATATGTTGAAGATGATGAAGAGAAGTATGAGGGTCAAATGATTATAGATGAAAAGGAAGAAATTAGAAAAACAGGTTATAATAAAAACGGCGGGCTTCTCATAACTGAAGATATGTTGGAAGAAATGAAGGCTAGTAACACAAAGGGTAAGGAGGAGATTGTTACCCCTGTGCAAGTGTTGGTGGAAGAAAAGAGTGAAGGCAAAGTCTCATATGCTGAAAAAGTGAGTGGAAAGAAATTGAATGCTGCTAACCTTATATCAAAAATTAAAAAGAAAGCAGATCTTCCAGTTGGTGCTGTGGAAATGCCCATTAGTGATATTCTGAAAGGATGCAGTCCGTTTAAGACTACGTTGTATGGCTATTTCATTGATAAACATGTTAATTTTTTTAATGTTAACAAGTTTGCGCATAACATGTGGAAGAGATATGGCTTGGAAGAGGTTATGGTAAATGAAGAAGGTATTTATTTCTTTAGATTCAGTTCAGAACAAGGTATGCTAAATGTTCTTGAAGGAGGAGTATGGATGATTTTTGATAGTGCCTTCATAGTGAGAAGATGGACAACTGGAATTAGTTCAGCGAGAGATCAACATGACAAGGTTCCGGTTTGGGTAAAAATCTATAATGTTCCTTTGGAATATTGGAATGGAACTGGGCTTAGTCATATTGCTTGGGAAATTGGAAAACCTCTTGATGTGGATGCTCATACTGCCAAGATGTGTCAAGAACATTGGGGAAGGCCAGCATTTATGAGAATTTTAATCGAAATGTCGGCTGCTAATGAATGGCTCAAAGAGTTAGAAGTATTCTCCTCGGATCTTGTAACTGGTGAAAGAATTTCTTCTAAATGCAAAATTGAATACGCCTGGAATCCATCAAAATGTTCCCATTGTAAGGTTTATGGTCATAGAGATGCTACCTGTGGAATTATTTTAGCTAAGGAATCCAATTCTCTTAAGACTTCAAAAGTTGGCGAAGAGAATAAAGAGGAGAAAAAAATTGATCTTATGGAAGTTCTTATTGCTAGTACAAAATCTGTGCAGGAAGATCAAGATGGATTTCAAACTGTTGTTAGAAATAAGGGAAATAATATGGGAGAAAATTCAAAGGAAGAAATGAAGAATAAAAAGCAAAATGCGAATCAAGGGCAAAAAGGGAAAAGTTATGGAGGGGAAAAAATAGAAAACGGAACTAAAGCTAGCTTGCAGGGGCAAAAAGGGAATAAAAGTGTTAAATCAGTTATGACGGCTGAGGGAAATCAATGGAATAAAGGAAAAGGTTCACAGGGGTATAATGGGAAAAATCAAATTATGAAGGGAAGTTTTTATAGCAGAAATTTCGAGCAGGGGCAGACAAGTAATAATGATTATTTGTTGAATAAGAGGGAGAATAATGCTGCGAATTTTATGGGAAAAAAGGATGTGGCAGGCTTTTCTCATGGCAGTGGAAAAATTGAGGAAGAAGTAAAATCTGAAGACAGAGGAAAAATTAAAGTTGTTGGACAGAAATATGTTTCGAAATCTGGGCTGGACTTCAAAATTAGCTCGAATTTTGATTCTAAGCCTCATTCTCTGAAGTCTAACAGCCCTTTTAATTTTTCAACTAACAATAAATTTGATGTTCTCAATAATTTGGAAGAAGAGAATCCTTTTGTTTTTGCGAAGAAGGGAGTTGATGAGGCTGATTTAGCTTACTTGGATTCAGTGGATCAAATGGAGGTGATAGGAGGTATCCCTTTGACAGATACCAACATGGAATCACCTTCCCAATGACGATTAGCTTCGGGATTTGGAATGTTAGGGGCTTTAATTTCTCCCCTAAACAAAAAGAGATAAGAAAGCTGATGGATTCAAATAATTTGAGCCTTCTTGCTATTTTGGAACCTCAAGTTAATTTTAATAAACTTAAGTGAATTGTGATAAGATCTTTAGATCTTGGAAGTGGATTGCTAATAAAGGAACGGGTCATACGTCTCGTATTATTATTGGATGGAATCCTAACCTTTTTAATGTCAACTTGATTGATCACAATGATCAAGTTTTTCATTATAAAGTTTCTTTTCCCCATAATAATAAGTATGTTTTCTGTTCTATCGTTTATGCAGCTAATAAATATATGGACAGGAGGGCTTTATGGGCTTCCTTAGTTCATCATAAAGGGTTAGTTAAGAACGATCCTTGGCTAGTTGGAGGAGATTTTAATGTCACTCTTAATCTCAACGAGAGTACTATGGGATCCTCAAGATATTCTAAAGGCATGGTGGAATTCATTGAGTGCATCAATTCCATAGAAATCCAAGACATCAACAGCAACGGGTTGAACTTCACTTGGAACCAAAAACCGAAGGGTATTGATGGAATTTTGAAAAAGCTTGATCGTGTTATGGGTAACAGCAGGTTGTTAGATGAGTTCCCTTCAATTTATGCTTCTTTTCTCCCGTATGGAATTTCAGATCACAGCCCAATTGTAATCAAATTACCATTGAAGATCAATTTTAAAGTCCTCCCTTTCAAATTCCCTAATGTGCTTACTTTGAACCCGGAGCTGAAAATTTTGGTGGAAAAGCAATGGAAAGTTGAAGTTCAGGGAATCAAAATGTTTTGTTTAATTCAAAAACTCAAAAATCTCAAGAAACCCATTCGCAAATTGTTAAAAAATCAGGGACATTTCTCGGAAAATGTTATTCATCTCCGAAAAGAATTGGAAGCTGTTCAATCTGATCTTGATGCGGATCCTTTCAATGTCCAACTTCGTGAATTAGAAGCTATTTTTCTTGGAGAATTCAAAAAAGATTGCGAGAAAGAGGAAAATTTTTAAGACAAAAAGCTAAAATCCACTGGCTTAAAGAAGGAGACAGCAATTCGAAATTTTTTCACAGAATTGTTAAGGGAAGATCTCACAAAAACAGAATCGAAGCAATCATGAACAGAAGAGGGGAATGGCTGGAGGGTGAGGCAGTTTATAAAGAATTCGTGGATTATTTCAAAGAATTTCTCGGCACTGAAGTTCCCTGTTCTGATATACATTTGCCGAGTTCTTTATTTTTTAAAAAATTAGATCTTGTGGATGCTGCTGAGATGATCAAAATTGTGACAAATGAGGAAATTAAATCTGCTCTTTTTGATATTGAGGATGATAAATCTCCTGGACCTGATGGTTTTTCTACCAAATTTTTTAAATCTATGTGGTCGATTGTTGAGGAGGATTTCTGTCTTGCTGTCAAGGAATTTTTTGCCAATGGGAAAATCCTCAAAGAAGTTAACGCTACTGTCATTGCTTTAATTCCTAAAGTTGACTCTCCTGGAAAAGTTAGTGACTTTAGACCTATCTCCTGCTGTTCGGTTATATATAAATGCATAAGCAAAGTTATTGTGGCTCGAATAAGAAATCATTTGGGTTCTATTGTTGCTGAAAATCAGTCAGCGTTTATTCATGGCAGATCAATCACTGACAACATTCTTCTCTCGCAAGAACTCGTCAGGGGATACCATAGAGCTCGAGGTTTTTCTAGATGTGCTCTAAAGGTGGACATCCAAAAAGCTTATGATACTGTAAGCTGGTCTTTTTTACAGGATATCCTTTTTCTTTTTGGATTCCACCCGGCTATGATAAAGTGGATCATGCAATGCGTTTCTTCTCCTTCGTACATGATCAACATAAATGGGTCTTTCCACGGTTATTTTGAAGGAAAGAGAGGTCTTCGCCAGGGATGTCCTTTATCTCCCTATCTTTTTACATTGGTTATGGAGGTTTTTAATTTGATTCTTCAAAGACGAATAATATGTGAGCCTCTATTCAAGTTCCATTGGAAATGCAAGAAGATCAAGCTCACACATCTGTGTTTTGCCGACGATTTGATGATTTTTTGTTACGGCAATTCGGCTTCGGTTAGAGTGATAAAAGAGAGCCTTGAAGAATTCGCTGGAGTGGCCGGTCTTCATCCTAATTTTTCTAAAAGCCACATTTTTTTCGGTAGTGTCAAAGCTAATGTGAAGAGTAAAATTTTGGACACTCTTCCTTTTGTTGAAGGAAAATTACCAATGCGATACCTAGGAATTCCTCTAATTTCAACAAGATTATTTATTCGTGATTGCAAAGGTCTTGTTGATAAAGTTAGATGCAGACTTGGTGATTGGAGAAACAAATTTCTCTCTTACGCTGGAAGATTGCAGCTTATATCTTCAGTTCTTTTTTCTCTTCCAGTGTATTGGGCATCTTGTCTTCTTATCCCAGCGGCTACCACAAAGGAAATTGAGAAGTTGATGAAGAATTTCCTTTGGGACTGTGATGAGTCTAAGAAAGGAAGGGCTAAAGTTGCTTGGTCCTCAATTTGTAAACCATTGGAGCATGGAGGTTTGGGTTTGAGAAATCTTAGAGCTTGGAATAAAGCGATTCTTTCTAAGAGAATTTGGATGATCCTTTCTAATTATGATTCTATTTGGGTTAAATGGATCAATACCAATGTTCTTAAAGGGAGATGTTTTTGGGATGTCCAAGAAAAGCAAGATATGAGCTGGAGTTGGAGAAATTTGATTAGATTGAGACCTTATTTCCGAATTCATTTTTGTTCTAAGGTGGGGAATGGAGCCAACACTTTTATGTGGTATGACGACTGGCATTCTCTTGGAGCTCTTTCTTATGTCCTTTCACCTAGGGAGATTGCTAGTGCTGGATTCAGAATATCAGACAAAGTTAAAGATGTTATATCTGATATTTCTTGGTTTTGGCCTGCTGAATGGCTTTTGATAATCCCTCAATTGAATGATTATCAATTGCCGAAACTTGATCCCTTGGTTGCTGATAAAGTTCTTTGGAGGGAAAGGAATGGTCAAAAGGTGGAGTTTGATATTCAACATGTCTGGAAAGATTTAAGCAATTATGATCAAAAGGTTCCGTGGGTCCATATTGTTTGGTTCAAGCAATGCATCCCTAGACTCAGCTTTATCCTTTGGTTGGCTATTCAAGAGAGACTGACGACTCAAGACAGAATGAGATTTGGGACAAAAATAAGAATCTCAAATGTTCTTTATGCAACATACAGCCGGATTCGCATAGCCACTTGTTCTTTGAATGCAATTATTCTTCACTTGTCTGGAAAGTTGTGAAGGATAAAGTGGGGATTAGAAGCAATTCTCATGGATGGAAAGAGTTAATTGAAGAACTTCAAGTCTTGTTTAAAGGGAAAAGCATTCAAATCTTTATTATGAAGATTGCTTTTGCTGCCGCTGTTTATTTTATTTGGAGAGAAAGAAATTGCAGACTTTTCAGAAAAGGAAAGACTGATGAGATGAAAATTGCTTTGAACATTTTTGAAGAAATCCGCCTCAAACTTATTGGTCTTAAGGGTGAATTTTTGGGGTTTGATAATGATGTTAAAACAAAGTGGGGTGTTCCTGTGGGAAAGAAAAATCATGATTTTTTTAATGATCAAAGGAATTGACGGTCTTAGGTTTAACAATTTTCCTTTAAAAATTGTTTTGCTTATCGGTTTTATCCCGATTTTCTTGAGGATTGTTCCTTTAGAAGTGGTTTTTATTATGCAAATGGGTTTCATCCCCATTTTAAGTTGTTTTCCTCCTTGGCAACTTGGAGTCTCCACTTTGGTGGGTGCCACTGCTAGTTCGATTAGCAAGTGGTGGGATAATTACCCGTCAATACCAGGGATTGGGTACGTTTTCCTTAAACTGTACCACAAATGGGTTGGTTGTTTCCCTTGTATCCATAAAAACAACCACTTTAGGATTTTTTGGCATAAGTATAAGGCTACTGCTATCCGGTGCATCCCGGATTTCATTGGATCTTTTTCCTTTGAAGTGGATTATTTCTTATTGCATTTGGGTTTGATCCCCATTAGTAGGTGCTTTTATCCTAGGCAACTAGGATTCTCCACTTATGTGGGTGCCACTGCTAGTTCGATTAGCAAGTGGTGGGATATTCACCCGGCAATACACGGGATTGGGTACGTTAACCTTAGACTGTACCACTTACAGGTTGGTTGTTTCCTTTGTTACCATAAAAACAACCACACTTGGAGCTTTATGGATCCTTTTTTGCTTATTGCTGTCTGGTTTATCCCAGATTTCATTGGAATCTTTTCCTTTGAAGTGGTCAATTTTTTAAAGCAAATGGGTTTGATCCCCGTTAGTTGGAAATTTCTTCCTAGGCAACTAGGAATCTCCACTTTAGTGGGTGCCACTGCTAGTTCGATTAGCAAGTGGTGGGATATTTACCCGGCAATACACTGGATTGGGTACGTTAACCTTAGACTGTACCACAATTGGGTTGGTTGTTTCCCTTGTTTTCATAAAAACAACCACTTTGGGACCTTACAATCCCTTTGGTTTTACCAAAATTTTAAAGCTAATCGGTCCATCCCGATTATCATTGGTTTTTTTTGCCTTTGATGTGGAATTTGGAGGGTTTATTCTTAATTTTTTAAGGATTTACCTTCAGGGGTATTTTTGGAATACTCTCATTAAAAAAGGAATTGACGGGTTTCAATCTTTTGGGTTGATTCTTAAGAAGAAAGTTGGCAATGTAGTTTTTTGTAACCTTGAGGATTGTGGTTTAATTGTGCTTATGAGATATTTATTTGCTAGAGGTTGGGATTTTATCCAAGGGCAGTTTCGGAATTCTTGGATTATTATTTTGGAAGAATTATTGAAGAGTAATTGGCTTAGTTTGGGCAACAAAGAAGTTGAAGACAATCTGAAGAAGATTTGGAAATGTTGGGATTTGTTGGAAAATAATGGTTTTAGCATCATACTCTCTCGGGTTTTGAAGAATCTCTTTTGGAGCTTATTGGATTCTAAAGTGAAGATTGGAAAGAAGGTTATCAATTATCTTGTGGAGAAGATTGGGAAGAATTGCATGAAGAATATTGTTCAAAGTTCAAAGTTAATTGCTATTTTCGGTTTTAGTTTCGTGTGGAGATATTTGCAAACTATTGTAGTTTTGAATGATTTGGCCAATGATTCTCTTGAGTTGGATGTTCCTTGGAAGCATTGGAAGACTAATATTATTCAAACCTTGGACTATTTGTTTGAATATGAGGCCATCTTTAGGGGTTTGACTTGGAGGAAGATTGGAAGCTATATGAAGATTGAAGACCTTGAAGATTTCGTTAATTGGAAGGTTGTTAATTTTGATTTTATTGTGTTTTTCTTTGTTAGTTATATTTGGTTTCACTCCTTGTGTTGGAGTTGGACATGGAAGTGGATCGGTTGGTTTGTTTAGATAGGGTTTGATGCTTGTGTTCTTTTAGTGTAGTTTTTTAGTTTTGTAGCTTTGTTGTTAGGTTAGTTGTTAGGTTTTTTGGGCGGTTGCCCTCTTCCCTTGTATTGTTTTTTCTTTTCAATAAAATTTGCCAAGGGGTCTTCCCCTTTTATCCAAAAAAAAAAAAACCCTAAACCCTAAACCCTAAACCCTAAACCCTAAACCCTAAACCCTAAACCCTAAACCCTAAACCCTAAACCCTAAACCCTAAACCCTAAACCCTAAACCCTAAAACCCTAAAACCCTAAAAGCCTAAAACCCTAAACCCTAAACCCTAAACCCTAAACCCTAAACCCTAAACCCTAAACCCTAAACCCTAAACCCTAAACCCTAAACCCTATACCCTAAACCCTAAACCCTAAACCCTAAACCCAAACCCAAGTCATTTGCTAAAAATTTTTCTCTCTCTAACTTTCTCTCTCTAGGAATTTCTCTCTCGGTTTTCCAGTTTTGGTGAGTGGCTTGGTTGGGATTCTGGTGATCGGATCTCTTGCCGGTGCCGGAATTTCATCATCGTTGATTGAATTCAATTTAAAACGAGT